ACGCTGGTTTGTGTCTTCCTTGGGAAAATGCCTCCATCCTCAGCCGGGACAGAAAAAAGCGATGAGCCGGTTTGTCATCTGCCTCCCAGCACTTCGTATTGCAACGCAATCGCGTCCCGAGGGCAACTGCTCCAGCCAAACCTACCTCCCAGTCTGGGAGAGTGAAGGGAGCCAGCGTACGGCACAAATCTTCCAGCCACAAGTCAAAGCAGCAGCGTAATTAAAACACCCGATACTTGCCATCTCATCCCAAGTGTCTCCACCTCATCAGCCACCCCCACTGATGGCCGCACAGTTCTCTGGCTCTGGAAAAATGAAGACAGCACGCAGAGCAGAAGAAAAACATGGTCTGGACACGGGTAGGACTGCGCTCCTAACAATAAGCAGCTATTTGGAGGGGGAAGAATACCACCCTTGTGACACGATCCCGTCTCTACCAGTTGCAGACTGAAACTCGGAGCCAGCTGGGGTCCGGCTGCAGGCTCTGCTGACCCTCGGTGCGGCTCAGACCCGAGGCACGCTCAGAGCGGCGGCCGGCAGTGAGGCACAGGGTGCTGGGGGACGGGCCGATCGAGACAGCGTTCACAGATGCTCGGCTTGCAAACTACACAGCCAGGCAAGGAAGCGGAAGAGCTAAGCAAGGCCAGGCCGACTGAGGAGGTTAAATACACCCCAAGTTGCAAGAAGAAACAGTTCTGCAGATGAGTGTCTTTGCCCAACCCACTTTGAGCCCCTCTCCAAACATTTCCTTACCAGCCACAGCCAGAATCCCTGATGAGCCAGAATCAACCTTAAGCCTCAGAGGATGCACCCATGTCAGGTACTTAGATGACAGATCACGTTATCTAGGAAAATGCCTGCCAGCCTCCCCAATAAATGCAACAGAAGAGGCAGGGAACCCACAGGAAAAAGACTTTTTACAGCTATTTCCCCCGACATTCCCTAAAGGGAAAAGAAATTCAGGAGATGGGAAGCTATGCTTCAAGACATCTGCTCCCTTTGCTTTTTCATCTATCACAGATGTCCTTAACACTTGGTGTAAAACAGCAGATACAAATATGAAAGCTTAAATGAACAAAATAATAACTTCCTACTTAATCTTCGCAAGAGATCAAGCTATTCCAGATACATTAATAAAAAACCTTCCCAGCTCATAGGAAGTAGCTGCAAAGAATAACCAAGCACAGTAAGAGTGAAGATGGGCAAGCCTAAATAAGACAGTGTCAACACCAGTCAATAATAAATTAATGTCCCTCCATCCTGAAGACAGAGAGCGTTGCCACCAATTGTCACCAGCAGCAAGGAGCACGCCAGCTCGGAGCGCAAACGCATCCTATCTCCAGAAAACGCCATCCGAGCCGATACTAACCACAAACTTCTCGCCGTTTTGCTCCACGTGCTTGTACGTGGGGATGGAGATGGGCACAGCCTGTTTTTCTGTGTAGTCGTAGAATGACTGCCCCAAAGAGTCATCACTCGGATCGAGATTATCTGCCTCGTGGGGAGGCACGGACAACACCGTCAGAATTAACTCCTTCTCTCCTGCGCGAATCAGGTCCACCACCTGCTTGTGTGTCGCTCCTTCGACATTCACCCCATTCCTGCGAAAGAGAAAGCAGAAAAGCCATAAGCAAGGCAGAGGTGATGGCAGAGCCTTCAAACCATGCCAGGAGCAGCCCAGAGATCCATCGCGTATCTGCTTCCCTTGAAAAATCCCTCCAGCCTCAACTGCTCTGGTTGCTCCAGTTTCACTCTGGTCTAAACTTTGCTAATCTTTTCTATTGATGGTTTCTCATGTTATTAGCTACTGAATTACGTTTAAAGACTTCAGACACAACTAAAACTTCTTTAAGGCTCAGGCACCCCCTTGAATATTTAAAACAAGTTTTACAGTTTTTACCATTTCCCAATGGTACAACACGGCATGTTTGTACCCAGAAAGCGAGCCTCTTCCCCTCAGCTAAAGGCAAATGCAAGGAGACCACAGAATTGGGGAAGAAAACACTGAATGCCTAACACATCCTACTCTGCTAGGGCAAAGCCCATCCCCTGATCCTCTACAGCTCCAAAACACGATTTGAAGCTTTCAGGTGAACAAGAATGAGAGCGCAGGCAAGGAGGCTCAGAGAGCAGCGGTAAGTGATTTCAGAAGCTGCTGCTCCCATCCACCAGACACGGCACCCACGAGCACGCCTGCTTCGGTGCAACACAAAGGAGATGCACGTTCGCTTCAGTTACTTCCAGGCAAACTGCTCTGCCTTGCCCCAAACAGCCCAGGAGCACTGCTACAGTGAGTGACAGGTTTCTGCTTCCTAAATTGCTCCAACCCGATCGCAAGAGCTCATCACAATTATGCCCCAAGCCCTCCAGGAGCCCCACGAAAGCTCTGAAGACCCAAGACATACCCAAGCCACCTCTAAAGCATTCCTGACGTTCCTGCTCTCCCTGTGAGCTCAGTTAACCATCATTTGGGTCTCGCTTTGCCCAAAAGATACGGACCGTACCTTGGCCAGCCTGGAAAGATGCTGGACCTGTGACTTGACTTCAAAGCAAAGAGAGCTGTTAGGTTCTCTTCCAAATCTGGAAAAGGACAAGCCTGGTTTTCCTCCTGATAAGAGCTAGATTTAGTAGCGAGCCTCCATAAACTCGCAGTCATCACAAGTGTCTCTGTGAAGAGTGTGGTATCAGAAACATTCCCTGTGTAAACAGGAACAGGCAGAGCTTCTCCCGCTGCATCCCCACCAGTCAGCCTGGCCGCACTCTCACAAGGCTGGCAGAGAGCCCGTCGAGCGTCGGAGACGACAGGTCCCTTTCACCCCTGCTCTCCGAGCAGCTGCTTGGGCTGAGCCTGGAACAAACCAGCCAAGGAGTTCCTCACCGCTGCTGAAGCAACACTGGCAACCACACCCCAACCCCAATTTGCCTTCGCTCGCACCCAGGAATTTCTCCACCAGAAAGCCCAGCGCTGCCCTTACTCTGTGCTGCTGACTCTGGCCACTACCCGTGCTTCAGAGGCACGCAAGAGGAAAGCAGCCTGCACTGTCCCAGCCACGAATCCTGACCATGCAGGGAGAGAAAGGGCTCTCAAATACCCCCTCTGGCAATCGGCTACTCCTTCCCGGAGCCTGGGAACAGACCGTCATCACCTCACCGCTGAAGACGTAGTGCTGGTCACAGAACCATCCCAGCTTGCCTTAAATCAAGCACGGGATTTAGCTTTCAATCCCCAGCTCTCAAATGAAAGAGAACAGCTCTCACTGCCTCACATCGATCATTTTTTATCGAACTTTTACTTAGAAGAATTGCCCTGGAAAGATCCGATCTCGACTTACAAATCTGGGTGATGGATCCCAGGCTCTGAACCAAGTCTAAAAAAGCCCCCAAGCAGTGCTTGTGAGCCAGAGACGGCGCTTGCACTTTGCCAGGAGTTGGACAAGAAAGCTTCCCCCAGCTCAGACACTACCCGTGGTTATCTTACAGCTCCCGCACCATTTCAGGGAAGGGATAACGGTGCAGCCCTCGGATGCAGCCCCTGGGCGCGACAGGAGTGCTCAAAGAGCTGTACACAGCTTTTACAGCAATGAGGCCGTTAAGGTCAGGAAGAGGGAAAATCCCCTCCTCACCGGCCAGCTCTTCCACAGGGCAGAGGGAAAATCCCCTCCTCACCGGTCAGCTCTTCCACAGGGCAGAGGGAAAATCCCCTCCTCACCGGCCAGCTCTTCCACAGGGCAGAGGGAAAATCCCCTCCTCCCCGGTCAGCTCTTCCACAGGGCAGAGGCGTGGCCTCCAAAGCAGCAAATTCAGTCGCCCTCTTCGTTACAGAGTCGAGCCGGTTGCCACCAACATCGTCGCATTAAAGTGACATTCGCTTTGTTGCACCTGACCGATGCTCACGCGCTGCTCGCTTATCCCAGATCCCTTCCACTCGCCTAGAATTAAACCCCGTCCGCGAAGTCCTACAGCGCCGCTGCCCAAGTCTGATTTTTGGCGGATGGGGATGAAAAGCCAGAGACTCCAGCTGCGTGGAGAAGGCTGCTGCCCGCAGCAGGAGGGACGGCAGGCCATGACGACTCTCCTCCATGCGTCCCAGTCCTGCCCTGAGGAGAGAAGGACGAAGGCAGGGGAGTTCAGTCACTGTCCCACCCTCGACCTCAAGCCCATCGCCAGCCAGCGACAGGCAGAGCCCCCCCAGCTGGCAGCAGGGGCTTTTGGGTGAGCCAGGCTGCAGGACTCGCTGTTCAGTCCACAAAAGTCAAGGCTGGTTTGTAGTTACTCAGCCCCAGCCAGGCTGGAAGTAGGCTCTCAGCTTAACTTCCCATCAGCAAAGACCTCAGACACCGTGCTTTTCCTTCTGCCAGCAGACCGAGAACAAACACGCTGCCAGCTTCCTCCTCTTCCTCTCCCACACCCTCCTGGTGACTTCTGCTGCCATCCACTTCCTCCCCGAGCCGACACCAAACCCTGGGAGGCAGCGAGGACAGGACCCGGGACTCCCAACAATAAGACTGCAATGCATCATTTCATTCACAAAAAACGGGTAACACCCACTGCCGGCTCTCCATCGCTCCCAGCAGGCGTCTTTCTAAGATCAGATGCTGCTTTCATAGGAGCCCGGCTCGCCCCTCCACTGTGCCGAGCAGCAGGAAGAAGCAGTCAGCACCACAGGCGCGTGGGGCCGGAGGACTCGCACCTTTGCAATAAAGTCGCCATAGCAACTCAGGCTGGAATCATCATTGACGAACTGACGAAGAAAGGGAACGGTAAATCATACGACACAGGCAAATCGGGAGCAGCTGGCAAGGCGAGAGGAGCACAGCTGAATGACGCGCTGTTTACATGGCCACGAACCTGTGGGATCCAAGAGCCAAATGCGCTTTTCCCAAGACAACAGGACACTGAGGTACTTTGCTCCTCAAGCTTCTGCCTCCATTTGGAGTTGGAAAAAAGCTCCAGGCGTTACCTTTACCCTTCCAGGGGATACGCACGGTCCCAGGAAAGGGCTGCTGAGCTGACCGCAGGGCTGGGTCCCTTCATACCTTACAGAAAAGATGTCCAGATACAACAGCGGCAGATAACGACCAGATCCTTCCCTCCACGAAGGAGGTACCGCAGACGTCACACCGTTCTCTTCTGTGTGGAACGGGAAATAGAAGAGAGCTCTGCTCATGGTGGAGCAAACCGCTGCAGGGTGGAGACCACGGCCAGGCACGTGCAGCCCCCGGCCAGGTCTGCCAGACTTCAGCAGCAATCCGAGCAACTTCCACTGACAAAACTTCTCTCAGCTGTCCACCACCAAACACGGATGTGGTTAAACCAGGAGCGTGAGGTTCTGTCACCTTCTGCTGCAGGACAGTGGGCGAGTCTCCTTCCCTCAGTGCCTGGCTTCCTCTTTACCTCGCTGGGGAAGCGAGCTGCCTTGCAGGAAGGTTACCGCAGGAAAAGCTCTGAAGTTGGTGGGCAGAAGCGATGCTGGAGCTGTTCGGTTCACTGTGGGACAGGGCAATGAGGAGTCTTCTCACACCGTCCCTCTGGCAGGAGCATCCCCACCCAAAGAGGGCTGCAAAGGGGCTCCCAAATGCTCTCACCATCCCCGCAGGGAGCTGGGAAGAAGCTGTTTTCCTCCTGGTGCTGGTTAAGGTCAGTCTAGCTCGATACTCACCATGACTAAGGGCTCACGTTGGCTGAGCTGAAGACAACATAACCCCAAAGCACTCGTCACCACGTTTCTGTTGGCAATTGTCTCCCCACGGCAGAGGGAACACACGCCCGTGCCGCAGTCCACAGTCCAGCACGCTGGCAAAGACGCCTGCCAAGGCAGGCCCGGGCTGAGGCTCCGGACTGTGACCTGAGGCGGTGGCATGCTTTGCTGCCCGCTGACACCGCTGCAAGGGCAGAAACCCTGGCACGCGTGGGGCAAGATCAGGCGCTGCCAGCCTCGGCACTCGCCCGTCGGGGCTTGCCTGGTGCTACGGGGGAAGCCAAGCTCCGGGAATTACAGCTTAACAAAAGATCTCCAGCCTGTGGTTCGGCAAGCTCCCGCCACAAAAAAAATACACGCTGGGGGGCAGAGCAGACGGGTGTTCATTCACCGTAATGAATTTAAAAGCCTCTTTGGGACTGAATTTCCAAAGCACGAGGCCAAAGATGGTGAGCAGTTGGCTGCAGGCTGGCACGGTCCCCGAGCTGGAAAGAAGATGAGCTGCTGAAGCACCCCACTCGCTCCCCCAAACCTGCTCCCTCTGCCAGCACGGTGCAGAAAACGTCCCACTCACCAGCCACATCTGAACCTGGGAACACCCATCGGCAAGTGTTCTCAGCAAGAACAGGAACTGCTGGCAAACACTGGGAGACCCTGAGGACGAAGCATGCATTCAACAAAGCAAAATTCCCCACCATGCCGATGCTAACGAGCAAGATCCCCATGACACAGAGAAGAACATTTCACTTCTCCCATTCGTACACCAAATGACTCATTTTCTGCAAAGACTTCTTAAAATTTCCCAACTATCTGTCTGTCAAGAGATGACAGGGAAATTTACCGCAAGAAAGTCTGTAATAAGCTTCCTGGAGATTAAGACCATAGCCTGCCTTTGTGCTTTATTCAGGCAAAGTACTGACCAAACCAACAAACTATCCAAGGGAAAACACCCCAGAAACTACTCAAGTCATCTTTCAGGCTTTGCTTTTTAGCAGGTGGCACCTTCAGCCGTCCCACACTATCAGCAGGGCCACCACAGCCAAGCAGGAGTCGGAGCCCAGTTCTGCAGCCAAGGCAAGACCAGCAAAACCTGCGTAAAACAAGCACAGCTGTATCCGTCTGGCATCGCGCCGCTCTCCCACCCCAGCGTGACAGAACCAGGCTGGCAAGAGCCTTGCCGTGTAGATGTGGCCTCAGAAGTAAGACTGGCAGCAGCTGGTCACACCACAACTTCACGTGTCGCCTGTCTCTTAATGGGGACGGTCTGCCAAGTCCCCATCTCCCCCCAGCCAGTGCTTTGCATCTTCCAGCTCCCGACGCTTGGCTCAAAACACATCTGGCTCCAGCTCTGTCCCGGGCTGTACGTTAAGCCCATAAAATTCAATATGCAACCAAGAAGCTCCCTGAGCTCCTGCTTCTCTGTAACACACTAGTTCTCACCAATATTCAGCGGTGGGAGAGATTTTA